ATCTTAGGCTATAGATCAACTAATATTCTTGATAAAAAAGGTAAAAAACGTAAAATAAACATTTACAAGAAATTGCTAGAAGAATTGCACATTTTCACGTTGGAAATGAAAACATGCTTTTGAACCCACTGTACTACTGAGCAGCGGAAGTTTGTACACACAGGAAACCCATCAAATAGGACTTTGTTGATTTTGGGATTTTTTTTATTCCAGTTAATTGCCTTTACTTTGGGGTTTTTGCTTGAAAACAAAAAATAAAAACCAAAGATGATTTCATTCTCTTGTGTAAATTTACTCTTAAGAAAATTTTGAAAAGTAGAAATGAAGAGTCCCCTGCACTTAAAAGTACAAAACAGTGTTTTGTTGAATATCAAAAYAGATTAGTTTTGAGTTGTACACGCCTGTCCTTTTAATGACATACTCTTGATGACCTTGATGTAATTAAAATGTAAAAAACTGAGGTGGTCCCACAAATGCAGCACATCAGTGCGATGTGAGAATTCTCACGTGTTTCAAAAAATAATAATWTCATATTGAATAACAGTCAGGAGACAATTGGGTTTATAAGGATTCACCTAGGCCCCAATAACAAAATGGTGTGCCCCTGCTGTGCCCTTCTAAAAAGACGCTCCAATGAATTCAATTTCATTTATTTATTAACTTACTATAAAACAACACTATCAAAGTTTCCACAATTTCTACCACTATTGTGTGAATTACATGGCGAAAGCTTCAAAATTATCAAAGATCATAAACTATAGTTTGCACATCACCATTATCATTGACTATTTACAAATATAATAATAATCATTAATATCATTTTCATTTGAATGTGTTAAAGCCTCACATTTTGAACACAATATAATAACAACACTAATAATTAAACTGAATTTGCATTCATCGGATGCTTCTTTTAATCTCTACTCTACATGTATGTCATTAGCCACCAAGTGGGCACACTGAGCTGCTCAATGTTGATACTTTTCATTGAAAGAAAAATAGGAAATAACTGCAAGAAAACATATGGGACAAGGGCAAAAATTTACATGAGCTTCAAGCTGTTTTTCTCTCAGCACACTGAGAAATAATACATATTTAATATAGAACAAAAACATAACTATTATAAGATAAATCCAACACTAAAATGCAAACAAACATGTAGCCTTTGTAGCCCTCCCCCTATTGGGAAATGTGGGAGCAATTGTCACCATTGGGGGAGGGGAGGGAGGGAGGTTGGTAATGGATGTACACAGGCTAACAAATTAAAATAAAAATTATYGATATTTGTTGATCTGAAAATTTTCAACTAACAAAGCTTGCTTTTTTGGCCTAACCCCTGTTAGCAATGCTAATGCAAGCTACAACATAGCAAAATGCGAACTTAATAAAAAAGACAAAAGTGTATTTATCAACATTATAATCAATAATATAATAAAATAAATCTGTTCAAAATGCTGATCAGTCTTGAACATGCATTGAGTGCTTTATCCTTCTCAACCATAAGAAGATTTGAAGGACTCAGTATAATTTTTGGTTAGAATTATTAATATATCTCAGTCTGTTGTATTCAAACTGACATTTTTGATGATTGTCCATTGTCTCTATTAACTTTTTTAAGTGGTTGTACCCGTGTTACTCCATCTGTWAATCCACTAGTCGTTACTCTGCAAAACACAATGGACATTTTAATGTTTTTATCAATTTTAATCTAAGATTTTAAATTCAAAAATGATTTCAAAGTTTATAGGATGCTTGAACGTTGATAATACATGTAAATAAGTCATGAATATGATGGGTTGGGATAGGATGAGATACAGCTGTACATTGGGATGGMATGAAGTGGGATCAGATGGGAACCAATGGAGTACAAAAGGATTTCAAGCAATATGAGATGCACTGGAATGGAGTGGGGGTGAAATAACACAAAACAAGATGGAGAGTGACAGGGTGGGAAGTATTGCAATGTGATCAGATGCACTGAAATTTGGGAGAGGATGGAGTGGATTATGATGGAATTGAATGGTATGAATTTCAAGGATGAGATAGGAAAAGATAGAGTGTATGGGATGAAATGGGATATAAGATGTGATACATGAACCAGGTTTGAAAAGATACTCACACTTCATCCATTTCAATTTCTTCATCAGAATCTTCTTGAGCAACATGTAAGTAAGGGTTATCAGGGAATGGACGGAAATTATAACTGAAAAGAAAAAATAATGTTTTTATTAAATATCATGAACACTTTTTTAAGTTTAATTATTTATTTAGATTTTTGATTTTCACTTACCCAGTTAATACAAAGAATATATAGGTGGCTGTGTTGTTGAATAGCTGTTGGGAATAAATTTAGATGGTTATTATCTAACTAAGAACAAAGAGTACTAGTTAGTTCACGATTGAACTATTCATTGCCATCTTATAGGTCAAGTATGACCACATAGTTTACATGCTAATACCTTCACTTTGTTTATTCTTTGTTGACTGAACTTTGTACATCAAAAACAACAATAAATACAACAAACAAAAACAAAATATAAAAAAAACATACCTCATCAAACCACATATATTGGAATGGAACTGTAATCTATAAGCAATGAAAATATTGATTTAAATTTTKCCTTCAATGTGTTATAAACTATTGTGTGCATGGGCCAAGGGGAAGYCCCTAKCAYRCATACAAACATGCAAATCCCCTTGGCCTGCAATCATAATAGTTGAAATATCTACACAAATGCTAAAATTTACCTTTATCAAATATACTATAATCCTTGTAAAATAWATATAGCAGACAACCTACAACAGATGAGATATTAGGTAACTGAATTCATAGAATAAATAGACTAGTATATAAAATTTGGAACAAAATAAATCAGGGCTGATTCCATAAGTTGGCACCTGTTCAGTTTCCTCTCTGTTGAGAAAAATCGAGGAGCAAATACTACAACTTTGGAATCAGTCTAAGGGCATACATACCATTACATAGAAATGTCTGAAAAGTTTAAGCTTCACCAAGTTAATGGCAGCTGCAAAAGAAAACAAAACGCATAAAGAATGATTCACATTACAAAAAAATTCTACTTAATTGACCTACACTACTATAAATTTAACTAATAGAGGCCATAGTACAAGAAAAAGGGATCTTCCTAACATCACTGCAATGACAGTACTGTATCTTTCGTATTACCTTTTCCATCTGTTTTAGATGCTTCTTGTAAGTGTCTTATTGACCAGACTACAGGGAATAAAATAGCACCACAGCACATCAAGTCCACTAATATAAACAGTTCTTTGTATGAAAGGTTAAGAAAAATTATATCAATTATTCATGATGATGGTGATGTCATTGACTATGATGATGTCATTGACTATGATGATGTCATTGACTATGATGATGTCATTGACTATGATGATGTCATTGACTATGATGATGTCATTGACTATGATGATGATGTCAGTGCTGATGTCATACATGTCGATGAAGGCATTAGTGATGATATCATCTCTGATGTCAGTGATGATGTTAGTGACCATGATTTTTACATCAATAATCTCATTAGTATCGATAATGATGATGATATTGATGATCCTACGTCAATATTCAAGGATATCCAAGTTGTATATTGAACTTTAGCTTCTTCTGTTGATTCCATAACTATCTGTGCAGTGTTGGCTAGAATCTGAAATATAACACCAAATATTAACACCAACAGAAGCATTTGAGATTATCTCAACCATTTGAAGCGTTTAATAATATTTCAGAAGTACCTGAAGTGGAATAACCATGAGAAATATCTTTTTATCCCTGTCGGACAGGACATGCTTAACRAAGAAGTATCCAGTTCCAATCAATACTATGGTGGTAAACAACAATGCACCTTTTAACCTGAAAACAACAATGAAACCAAAAACTAAACAAATAATTATAACACTTATAATTCAACATCAAATTTTCCTTGCTCATAATAGAGAGGTTAATCATTTACGGAAAACTGCAGACGGCAAAAAAGATCACGTGACCTGCTTTTTTGGAGTTTAACTTTGCGGTTTCAACGCAAGAGCGGGTTATTTTGAGGTTGCCATAATCATCAAAAGCCGCTCTTTCAAATGACTACCAAAAGCACAAGGTTGGGCACGAAATTCTTAGGTCATTGTTTCAGCTCTGCCGTTAGCCGTTTGCCATAAACGTGATGCTTAAACTCTCTAATGGTAAAGAGTWGACCCTGCCGTGGAAGGGAAATATACCAATATATGCCACTTAACAATTGCTCTTTGGAAAAAAAAACACTAGAGCAGTTGAGATATCTGGTATGATAGTTTGGTAGTTGCCCTTGGAAACTGGATGTTTCTGCAGGTAACTATCACTGACAGCATAATGCTCTTGATTCAACTAAAAATAGTAAAATAGTAATTCATTGGAAAGGTGTATGACACTTACAAATGAGTAATATAGTAGACTATGGCCCAGGATCCCTTAGGCTTTCCATCACTACCGATATAATAGAGGTTGATCTAAAAATAATTTTAAAGCAAAACCATTAAATCCTCTCAATCATAATAGAAAAACCTTTTCTTATTCCTCCTAATATCCCTAAACAGAACGTTTGTGAAACACTTTGGAAGAAGTTGTAATGAATTTAAACATTAATAAAAGCCAGCAGATTTTGTACTAATTTGCATAGTTTCGTCAACATGCACATAGCATATTATATTTCACAGATAAAATAAATAAATAAGGTCAACTTACAGCATCAAAAGCTAAGTCCATGGATTTGAGAATAATCAGTACAAACATCATRTAATGCACTTTGAAGGTGTTTTCCCTACAAAAGAAACATTATAATTCAGACAGGAATTGACAAGGATGTATTTTTATAAATATTCATTAATTAAAACTGTACTACTTTTTAAAATAATCATTATTTTTATATTAATCAAATGCTGGATCCTTACGTATTCTGTCTCAAGACATACAGCCACAGGAACGCTGTACAAAAGAAGACCACAGCCATGACTCCAAATAAAAATGGCAACGGTTCCTGAGAAACAAATAACACATTATTTGAATAGTCTTTAATATATTAAGTCTGTTATATAAAACAGACCTAAAACTTGAAAATCTTCAACTTAATCGCACTCTCTTTTTTTTAACTGGTCTTGTGAAGGCAAAAATACTATGTACTAAAAGGATGATTGAGTGGATGAACAACTGAATGAAAAAATGAATGAATATTAAATATTAAACAGAATATACTGGATAAAGGAACAAATAATGGCTTGAATTACATACCTCTCCAGCTGACAAATAATTATTGACATTTTTCTCAACTATCTTGACCTAAGGAAAGGTGTTTTCAAACATAAGATCACTAGTTAGTATATAAAAAAATCCAAAATTGTTTATTGGCAATGCACATACCTGRATATCAACTGTGACACGAGTCTTTGTGAGATAATTGGCACAATTGTGGAARTACAAATTGTACAATCCCTCTTCACTTTTATCCTTGATTTTGACTGTAAACTATAAAGTAAAAAAGAAAATAAAAGTGTTTAGAAGTTCAGGACAACCTTCAAGGGTGKTACCATTAGATTTTTGAGAGAGTGTAAGGTAGCTTTCTACATGTAGGAATTATATCTTGGGTTCATTTTCAAACAAAGACAGAAAAAAAACAATATTTTTGACTTACATTGCCATAGTATTCAATTGATCTATTTCTTTTCTTGGAGTACAGTGGCAAATAACTGGTTTTCACTAGAATTTTTTCAGGATTTGATGAAACATCTCTTCTTGCTCTTGAAGACTTGTTATTATTAGCTTCACTGCTTGTCKTWAATYTAGTAGTTGTCAAAGACAAAGTGGTTCCTTGTACAGTTGGTTTTGTGGTTTGCACAGAAGGAGGTTTTGTCATTGTTGATTGGGTGGACTTTGGAGGTGAATCTTTRGTTGCCAGTGCTTCAGTGCTAGTTTGACTTGACGTGTTCTGGCTCTGTGTTATTTTTGTATCTTTAACACTGGGAATAACTCCTATTTTGAGTTTGTCAAAGTCTGGACCATACCTATGCACCACAATACTGCAACAAGAAATAGTGTTCATTTGTCTGTGAATTCGATCAAATAGATTGTGCATTTTTGACTGAAAACATGGTGTATATACAATGTATATGTGACAAAGTCACTAATGGACATTGAAGGGAATATTTCCATGTACAGTGGTGTACATTTGGCATTATATTCTATGCCATTACTGTCCCTCCCCTCCCAGATCAGTGTGTCGTTTACTTCATGTTAGACCATGGATAGTTACCATGGCTACCACTGTTGCCATGGATTCGTTTTTACTTTATAACAACTATGAGATAATAGAGCAAATTTATGTACTTACCTGTCATTATTCAAATCAAAGATGAAGACAGCCACGGATATACTACTTGTGAAACTGTTTTGACTTCTCAAAATACACTGTTCTGCATGTTGCTCCTAAAATGTAAATGTATAAATTAATATTCACAGTACTGGGGCTTCTATATAAGGATTCACCTACCATATACGGTGATATTCCATCACTTGCAGTCTTCTCTAATGAAAAACCAAACTAAAGAGAAAAGGATTTTAGCATTTTTCTACAATAATATAAGCTTATCATTCTACTAATAAAGCTGAAATATAAGTTTAGTATGTACCGTAAAAGCTTTATGACTTTAAAGTGAAGCAGAAGAAGAAAAATCATAATGGTCTTTAAAGAATCATAACCAACCACCGTACCTTGCGAGCCGAAGCGCCATTTTAGGTGGACACGAAAATGGCGGATTCGTAGGATTTCATAAAGTGAGCGTGAATTGTCTTCCGTCCTTTCAGTTTGGACAGAAATAACATTAACCAAGTACTACACAGGTACTATCAATCTATAATCTATTGTATGCTTGACACATTTAAACGTATGTAAACAATAACACGAGCGCGCAAGGTACAGGGGGTTGGTTATGATTCTTTAATGAAGACAGATTGACATTTTGTCAAAATTATAAATGTTTCCACTGCACTTTGAAGAATTTGATATAAATTATGAAAAGCGTTCTATTATATTCCATTCATTTTCTTTTTTCCATTTGTTGCTGTTGTCGTTTTGCGTTCTAACATATTCTTAATTAATTGATCCGACAGTTTTATGGCTGATTAATTCATAACTTAAGCTTATATGCAGTGAATTCTTAAGTAAAAAAAAAAAAAATAGCAGCGAAAAAAGTCTATTGTTACCACGCAATAGACAACATACTCACATTATTAGATAGATCTTTGTTTCTCAAAAACGTCTCTTCATCATTGTAGACCATTTTACTGACTTCAACTTGAAGAAAACCGTCCTTCAGAAACCCAAACTTACTCAACTCAAACGATTTCCTTGCTTCATTCTGAAAATAGGGATGTGGCACTCGATCAGAGAAAAAAAACTCCACCACTAAATACATGAACAACTCAATGATATTAATACTTACTTGAAGTTTTAATTCGTGTCTTCTTCCTGAAGAATATATAAACAATGACACAAAACAGAGGAGAAAAAAGAAAATTTCATGTTTCACAACAACGTTTACAGTAGTCGCCATCTTGAATGCTGCAGGGCGATTGACCGTGATGACGTAAAACATACTTTGGGAGCTGAGTAACAGTGTACACAGGTAACCCACTCAATGATGGGCGTGACACCATGCTGTTTTTACAACAAAAGGACAGAATAACGCACTAACAGGGTCAGAATGGGGGGGTCCCAATGTCAGTTAACAGCTAAATTTTGGCAATTTTCTCAGTTATCAGTTAAACTTCTCGGTTCTCAGTTAAGCCACATGTTAATTATTATTTTTGTGTAACAATTAACGACTAAATATTCAGTTATCAAGAAAAGTACGTTTTACCAGTGTTCTTTCAGGATAAGAAAATTCCCCAAATGGTGAGCTTTGAACACTGTAGTTAATATTGGAACTCTGACAACTCTCAAAGTGTACCTCCTCCCCTTTTCTATAGTAACAAACTAATACTTTCACCATTCATAACGATGATAGATGGCTTTGATCAAGTCAACTTTTCAAATGCATCAGCAGTTATATCTATGCCGTGACCACGGAGCGGTTGATTATGTGGGGCCCGAAGAGCGCCGAAGGCGAGTTTTTAGCGGGGTACAGGGGCATTCCCCCCGGAAAATTTTGGAATTTTAATCCACGCAAATGCGATTTCCAGAATTTTGAGAGCCATGCAGAAGAAATATGATGCATTAATTTTATGGAAATTTTGCGTAACTTAACAATGAAAAAAGGTATTTCTGATCGTGACAATTCAAAGTCAATAATAGATCTATTTAGTAGCGTGAGATTGCTGAATCGTTTTTGTGTCATATTTGATCTTAGCCGGATTTTCACGGACGTCGTAGTCAGTCTCGGAAATGCCATTTCCACCGTTTTGAGGCGTTATCCAAGACATATTTACCGCAGACACGGTCAACAATATTATCAATAAAATCCCAAAGAATTCATAAGGAGTCTCTTCGCTTCTTTATTGATTTAAGAAAATTCAAAATGTCGGAAATATTATTGGAGGGGCTGTAGCCCCCCAGCCCCCTCTGCTCCGCGGTCCTCTGCTAAAAATGATCGTTCGCAAGAAGTGTGTACATCAGGAGAGCCCGACGGAGCCGCTCTACACAAAACGAAGGAATCGTCATCGGGGTCGTGTCATTTTTGGCGCCTGCATTCAACGGCATTCCAAACTAAACACCCACTGAGAGTTGGTGTCACGTGACCGGCCGATGCCAGGGCTATCTCTGTCCGCCAGTTTTGAAAAAAACAAAAAACAGAGAAGCCCTGGGAACGAGGTTCACCTACATGTAAAACATGTGCAAACAAAGGAATATCAGCTAACAGTTATTTTGTTAATATCAGTTATCAGCTAAATAAACCCGAAATTCTCAGTTAACAGTTAATATTTTAGCCGTTTCTCAGTTAATAGTTAACCCCATTCAGACCCTGCACTAAATCCGTGAAATGACGCTATTTTTCTATGCTGTTGTACAATTTAGAAAGTAGCGCTCAAAAAGTCTGATGTTTAGTGCAAGTTTGTGTTGTACATTGTACAATTTTTTTGCCGGAGYTGTTTTAAACCTATCCTTTTGACACCATATTCATCTGGCCATTTGGGATGTTAGAGAATTGTGAAGGAAGGGAAGGATTATCAYGTTTAAGACTGAAAATGGGAAATACAGTTTATTTTAGTACGATCAATAACTTCTCAACTACACACGTTTCATCTACAAACTTATATACATAAATATGTATATATTTTTAATTACATGTAAAACTCAATATACACGTAAATTGTTTACATGAACTTTGAACTTTATTACTTTATCTATGTTTCCCAAATTSAAAAACTGGCTAAAATTTCTTAAAATGAAGAAAATTCTTTGTCTAAACAAACTTTATAYTTGGACCATAAATTAGATTCAGTTCCGTATCCAATTTCATTGGATGCAATTAGTTTTCCAGCGCTTTTCTGAGACGAGCATGTTCTCGCAGTCTGAAACGAGAAAAACATAAAAATGGTAATATTGCATCGATAGTAGATGTGTAAATTWAAAAATAACACAATACAGTCGTATAAGTTATCTGGACGGGGAAAYCAAGAGAAGAACGCGCTCAGAAACATCTTCCAGCGTGTTTATATAAAAGAGCAAAAAGATCACTTTACTTTCTACCGCCKCATAATMTCTAACCAATGCCCTCCCCCTTCTAACTAAGCCCCCGCTTGAAAAAAAGGGGGRGGGAATTCTAATTACCTCAAAGAGTTAATTCTAATGAAGCCAGCAGCATCTGCAGGGTTATAGTCACCAATCACTTCCATACTGTATAGAAAAYAATTAATACCATTAAAGAATAATAGCAATAAATTGGCATCGATTCAATTGTCCTGGTTCACTATAATGTTGTGGGGGAAAAATCGCTCAACGCACAGTTCCCTTTTTTAAAATTCTCTTCCGATTCTCTTTTGCGACTCTCATCAGATTTTCTTGTTTTCAAATAGGTACGTCAGTTATTGTTTGACACATTTATAGCGTTTTGCAGCTATTCTTGTGAGTGTGTTTTATTGGGTATTTTTGTTTTGTAGTCGTTTTTTTCGTGTTGTCTTTCTTTCCACCCTCTAGTGACCATAATCCTTAGTGTTAGCATTTTCATGTGACGTCATAGTGAAATACGTCTGTCACTGAATTTACCTCACAAGGTTTTCATTGTACAARGAAGCCTTGGATTCACGACCTCTGACATACACCTTAAAGAAATAATAATSATGATAAAGTTGTGAGGATTTATAAATTGCATATCCCTTTAGTGCAATATAAAACGTGTTTTGTACAATATTGCTGGTTTTCAATCAAATACAAAAGATCAACGAGCTATCCTACTTRAACAAACTGGAGCACAAATACAAAACACTTGCATTTCTGTAGTCAGAGATAGTGGAGGTTGATCAAAATGCTGACAAAAATCTAAACAGAAATGCCATCTCCATCACCCCTTTATAGCCCACTTAAAAAAACACTGCACCACACTTAATACTCACATGTCCTTTGCTGATAGCTAGTTTGACCACCCCTTCAACATTTTCTTGACTCTTGTTGATGCAAAATCTAACGAAGTCTCCTTCTGGGCTGTACCAGAAACCATTGTAGATTAGGTCATTGAATCGAGTGCTTAAACTTTGCTTGACTTTACGCACTTCCTGTGATTGGATGAGAATGGTGTTGATGACATCTTTGATGGATTCACGAGATGAGTGGGTGGTTATACATCCATAGTTCAATTGCATGATTAAATGATTGACTAATTGATTAATATTGAACGATTAAATGATTGATTGATTGAATGGATGATGAAATGATTGATGGAATGAATGAATGGTTAAATAAGTGAATGATGATTAAATGACTGATTAAGTTATTGATTGATTGATTGATTGAATTAATCAATTAAATGACTGATTAAGTTATTGATTGATCGATCGATTGATTGAATTAATCAATGATTTGATGGATTAATATGGACAGATTGGACAGACAAATCAAAATGACAGCAATAAATACCAACCCTGTCAAGTGTGACAATCTCAATGTCAAGATGRGCTGCCCTCAATATGGTGCCTGCTGGACATTCATAGATACCTGCAACAAATATCAGTTTGAGAGTCTAAGATACAACTTATGCACAGGACTTAGAACCAATGTAATTATAATTACCTATTAAGCAAATTGTACAGATTGAAAATAGTTTGCTTGTCCTGAATAAATAAAGCTTTATTTTACTGTCAGTAAAAGTGACAAACCTCTTGATTTCATTCCAACAAATCTGTTCTCCACCAAGTCAATGCGTCCAACACCATGCTCGCCTCTGAAGGGAATGAATRTATATATTATAATACTGCCAGTACTCTAACATTTCAAATCTCTAAGTTTTAGTAAGAAATGATTACTGCATCTCTAAAACTCCCTAAAATAAAAAGTTGGGGATTGATAGTTAGGAATGAAGTCAGGATTAAATAAACACTTGTTATGCTATATAGTTAGTGCTTTTTCATGTTTTTAGTGGTATGCACTCTATTAAATAATGAATGGTTTTTATTTAACAAATAAATAAGGCTCAGCCGTGGTTTACACTCTGATAAACGCACGCTTGTTATTTGAAACACACATGTCAAGAAGCACGAGCTGAAAGCGTCTGTCAAAAATCGCTCGTGCACAATCGTGGTTTATACTCTCATAAACCACACTTTTTTGGCCAATCAGAGCGCGTGTTGGAAATCATCTATATAATAATTCAAATTTTTTCCTACCCAATAAAGTTCAGGTACTGGTAGATATCAAGTGGWGTATTCTTGACTGTATTGTCAATCATATTGGTCACTTTAACAGGCACACCTTGAAGAGAATCAATATTCAATCAAATCATTACATTATATGCATTATCTGCTGGAAAGGATTTACTTGGTGGAATGCTATTCACCCTCTATACAACAATGACTTCATAATATTCTCTTCACTTGTTTGCAAACTAAAGCTTACCCTTTTTGAACTCAATCTCAATAACAGCAGGCTTAAAAAAAAAAACAACAAAGTAATAAATGTCAGGCTGCTTTTACAATGGTTGAGAATGTTTGACAGTCTATTTAACATTAAATAATATGAATTTGTCAAGAATGCCTTCACATAAAACAYTACACAAAATGGCTTTAACATATTAATTATATACAATGCACACTTTGAGCAACAAGATATGCCGTACCTTATCAGGAGCAGTAATTGGATCTTTTGTCATTAGATACATATTTGCTGGAGCCTCTGTCTGTTAAAGTATCAAAAAAACCCAGAGGTATTAAATTTTCATCACTTGGGACTCCAGGCAAAGTCAGTATTACTGATAATTATGAAAATCATGTCTTAGATCATAAACCATTAGTTGAGTTTTTAATATTGATCGTTTCCGTTCATTCCCATAAGATTCAAAAGATAAAAGACCGGCGGCCATGTTGGAGGAATGAACAAAAGTTACTAAATAAAATGAGAAGTCCTTCTTGTGGAAGTTCATCAAAGATGGCTGCTGTGATGCAACCTGAAAACCAATTTACTGAGGACCTGGGGGGAGGTGGGTTCATACCCCATATGACAGTTCTTTCAGGAGATCGAACAAAGTAATACAATCATATGATTGAAATAATATAAAATGTTTACCCTGGGATTTTCAAGGATGCCACCTTCGTAGCTGAAAAAAAAATGTTATTCAAATTATTAAAAACAGGATCCTTCAAATGCCATTACTTGCAGCACAAGTAGGACACAGCTAATTTGTGAGCCAGGCATATAGGGGTGCTTCATACCACCATCCTGGAGAAAAATATCTCAAAGAAATGAAAAGCTCTCTTATGCTAAGTTTGCAAGTAATCTGYTGGAATTTGAAAAATATAACCTTCATAACTTAAACTTGCCAAAATTCTTAAAAATATAAAATTGAATCTGCTTAATTTAAACTAATATAAACAGTGCATCCTTTCATATTTTCAACATATATTTTCACAAACTTTGAGTAGAATTACAGTTTTGTAAAATGAGTTGTTACAATTACTTATTGCAATTGGTATCAAAGGTTTTTTTATCACTACCTGATGTGCATAAGATTGGCATCCATACTCCATGGATTCTTAGGTGTGACAGGCAGTGGAATACCATTTGCCTACAATAGRATATTGTTCAGTCAGTTAAAAATAATGTAAATTATTAGATTCAATTGAAGTAAGAAAGTATCAAATGAACGTCCCAAATCTACCTTTGCATACTCAAATAAATCTGCTCTTCCTTTGAACCTCTCAATGAACTCAGGCATACGCCATGGGGCAATGGCCTTAGCAAAATTAGAAGAAGATGTCAATAAGCTAAATAATCTACCAACCCTGCACCCACCAAATAACCTACCAACCAACCCACCAGCTAGCCAACCAACMAGCCAGCCAACATACAAAGCAACTATCCACCCAACCAACCAACTTACCAACTTACCAACCTACCAGCCCACTAGCCAACCAACCAGCCCACATAACAACAACCCACCTA